AAAATTTTGTACCCTTTGACGATTATTACAGTTTCAAAGAAGGCCGAAGCGTACCATCAAGTACTTCAGGCACAGTCCATTCTCGTTTAACATTAGCATGTTTGTTATCTGTATAGCATGACCAAATTAAACAAAGTTTTTAGTGTTTGAAAGCATCTTTGTACCATTGTCAATACTTTACGTAGACGCTAGAGATAAAACACATTCTTGTATCCTATTACTAATGCATTGATAAGAAGCATGCTCCGACCTCAAAGTTCAAAACTGAGCTCAAGCAGGAATCTCGAAATGAATGGCTAGATCAACAAAAGGTTTAGGATGAAATGAATTACTAACGATCAAACAGTGCGTGTTTATTTGGTCAATCGCTGTATAGCTATATTTCGATATATTTACAGCTTTGAGCTGCTTAACCTTGCATAGAGATTACACTAACTGCAAACGTCATCTACCTATTCCGATTTCTAATCATGACCACTTCCGTGAAGAATTGTAATTCACTCTCTCTATCAAATTACACGTATTTCATTTATCGAAACTTATTTCAGGTCGCAGAGTGTTCGTTTGTTTGTTTTGACTGTTCAAATATTGCTCCATCATGCAAGGCGCTTTTTTCTGGTTCATTTTTGAAATTATGTAGAAAAATCCTCTTCTAACGTGCATTTCTATTATTCGCCTGGCTAGTTTCTTTATTTGTCATGGAAACTCTCGCACCTTTTCCATTATTGGCTCTATTGTGAGGTTTTCTACCCTACATTAACGAATTAATGTTCTAGTATTTCTACAGTTTCACGGTTGAATTCTCTGTGCCCAATTTCTTCTTCTCCACATCATGTGCTGCGTTATACACATGACTTGCTCTTACTGGGAATAAATTTATCATTTTGCGCTAAGTACGTACGCTACGTACGGTATCTAGAATCAGAATCTAGAAATGAGGAAGAATTAATATGCCTTGTTATTGACAATAGGAAGATTTTGAAAGCAATCTATCACCACATTAAGTCAAAGTAAGCAAGAATTCTTTCGAATATTGGCGACTGTATCACAACTGGTGTGATCAAAGAGTGAACGGCAGTAAGAATCACTAACCTTTTTTGGTTAAGGTTATTATTATTAATGTCTCTATATCTGAATATAATAATTTTTACTTAGTTCAAAAAACATATACATTTTTTTCCGAGGGCTCGCTCTGCTTAGATATGAT